AAAACATGTGTCCCAGTATAGCCCTGGGAAAAACCAGCTGGCAGGGCAGAGGGAAGTTAGTGCATCTCTGTACACCAGTGTCCCTGGGATGTCTCCTGGAGGATTGGGAAGAAGGCTTCTTCACTATTTTAAAAACCACTTTCCTGTAGGTCAAACAAGATTTGCTTTCCTGATGGTGGAGATACCATAAATTAATCATTCGGAGATGACATTTATTGCTATATTTGGAGGAGAATAGAGGACTACAGACTTCAGAGCACCAAAATCCTCCTTACATCCTCAGGGCTGGGCTTTCATGGAAATATGCCATGATGTTTGATATTTGGGCAGGAAGGCATCAAGCTGGTTTCCCTTCAGATACGAGTCTCTATCTCTCTATGCCTCAGTTTCTCCACCTGCACAAAGGAAAGTGCCTTGAAGGAGAACTTTGAGACCTGCAGGGTCTACAGATTTGAGATTATTATTCCTAACAACTTGTCTCAGTGTTAGGAATAGTCCCAATGGAGTTTGGGGATCAACCTGCAGCTTTCCAGTCCAATCCTACCCCACAACACCTGGGGATTTTACAAAGTTGATTTGCAGCTCAGCATATTTGCAGTCTCAGAAAGAGGTTTCTTGCTGGGTTGCCTCCCTCAAGGTTTAACCAGATCGACTTATTCTTTCTTTAATTAGTGTGTGTTTAAGGTGGGTTTACTTCTTCCTCCTTCAGCTGCTGCCATCCGGAGGCCAAATGGTTTGTTTAAAGGAGCTAGTTTTTAAATTAGATACTGTTACTGACCTTCTCCAGCTTTGTTTAATATTTGTCCTCTGCTAGAAAATCAAAACCTCTTCATTTGTGCCTCCGAGCTGGCTCTGCAGATGGTACATATGGCCCTTACAGCACTTTTTTTTGGCATGAGCTTGTATTTTAAAGAGAAGAAGATCAGATTTCAGTGTGTTCCGTGGTGGGAAAACACAGCTTTACAATGCTGTATGGATTAAGAAATACAGGCCATTGTTTTGCCCTCACTGCCTGGAATTGGCAACGTATTTCAGGCTATACAGGTCCCTTCCTTGCCCCTTGACACACAACTGTGCAGTGTCTGGAGCTGTGAGAGCATCTCCAGGCATCCCTTGGGGTAAATCAGTGCCACATCATTGAAGTGAGTTGGGTTTGTGCCTGGAGAAGCACCTGCCATGCCAGGAGTTTGTGGGAACAGCTCAGCAATGGTTGTGCTCCCCTTGCCCTGTGCTTTGGCAATATCCCACTGCTCTGCTGCCCCAAGTGTGCTCCTGTCCACTGTGCACACTCAGTGTTCCTCTAACCCTGGCAGCAGGATCTGGGCCTGTCCCCATGGCTCCATCAGATGTCACCAACTGGGGAGGGACACCACATGTTCACACTGCTCTTCTCTTGTTGCAGGGATCCTCCCTGAAGGACGAGACATGCGGTAGGATCCAGCACATCCCACTGAAGAGTGAGACCTGGTCGTGCTGGACAGCCCAGGGCACCACAGGAGGACATGTGCCACCTCAGCTGCCTCCTCTTGGGACTTCTTTTCATCCTCAGCACCACCAGCACAGATGGCTTTGCCCGGGCAGGGTAAGGCTCTGTTATGTCTGCACCTCTCAGGTGTGCCCACCTGCATGTCACAGTGAGGTGCATCCTCCCTGGGTGATGAAGAGCCTTGTTTGGCTAGGCACTCTGACAAAGAGGTGGGAAAAGGCTCTGCCAAGTCCTCCCGGGGCAGCCAGGGCTCAGCAGTCCTTGGTTGGTTGTTTGCTTGGTCACTGAAGTGAAAAAACCTCTCAGAGAAAATGCCTGTCTCCATTTAGCTCCATGCAGGGACACAAAGACACTCTGGGCTTTCTGTCCAGGAGAGTCAAAAGCGAATCAGGCCCTGAGTGTTCAGAAATTATTATTTCTGAACCACATCCTTCACAAAAATATGTGTGAAATCTTGCTATCACACCATTGAGCCTTGTGAACTAGTTGTCAAGGGAGAATTCAGCTCCCATCAGAGGACGATGCAGCTCTAATAAAAGGAGGATGCAGCTTCCATCACAGGAGGTTGCAGCCTCCATCAGAGGAGGTTTCAGCCTCCAATAAGAGGAAGATGCAGCTCCCATCAGAGCAGGATGCAGCTCTCAGCAATGAGAGAAGGCACCATCCAGGGGACACAGGTGTAGAAAGCCCATGGGTGTGGAAAGCAGGTTGGTGCTCTCTCAGGATGCTGCTGTGATCCATGGTCCTGTAAGCCCAGGAGTGGCATCTCCAGCAATTCCCTTTCCAGGAAAAGGGTCTGACACAGCACCCTGGATCCCAGCACAGCCTGGGCAGGCCCAGCTCAGCTCCCACTGGGTCTGAGGACGCCCAGAACTTGGTGCTCTAGTTTCTTCCCCAGCTGAGAGGAGCTGGAGCTCAGTGCCCACCCCCAGACACAGCTCAAATTTTCTCCAGCGTTTGTTTTTACACTGCAATACTCTCCTCCAGCATCAAACCTTTCTCATTCTGGTCAGGACTGAAACCACAGCCGAATTCCTCCCTCGCACGCACAGGCTGCAGCAAGAGCTTTATTCTAAGTATTGCAAAGCAAACAATTGCCATTTAAAAATTGCATCTTCTATAACATTAATCGCAAGGCTGAGAGGAGTTTTCTGGAGTTAATGGAAGCCATCTGATGTCCCTGCTAATTCCCAGGCTCTTTATTTTAGTTTCTAATTGAGCTGGGAGGCTGAGACAAGTAGATGAGTTTCTCTGTGGGATTGACCTGCTTGGGCTGGAAAATGATGGAAAAAAAGGATATTTAAGCAAGACCACTTTGGCTGTTAACCTTGGGAAAGTTTTTGAGTGGATCACAGTTATCCTAGGAAGCCTGGAGGGTGGCTTTCATCTAGCCTCTTTTTTTTTTTTTTGTGCGGTGAGCCTGACCCTTCCTGTGAAATCATTAATTTCTGGGTGACCACAGGGGCATCTGTTTCAGGAATGTAAAAGTCTCAGGGAGGAAAAATCCACCCAGAAAGTGAGTGATTTTTGGGGGAAGGGAGGCAATGAATGGAAGGAGTAAATCCTCCCTAAATCTGGGTCCTGACTGCTCCCTCGGGACACAGAGACTGTGCTGGGTGAGTGTCCAAGGAGACGTCAGTGCTGTCACGCAGGGGCTGGGCAGGAAGCATCCACACAGCTCACAGTGCTCCAGCTTGGTGTTACTGCCCCAAAACAGCTTGAAGTGGCCTCCCAGGTCACTGGCATAATTAGCCACAACCCTGTGCAGAGAGGGACTGCCAGGCTGTGTCCTGGACTGGGGGGAGCTGACCTTGTTCCCTCTGCTCAGCCGCAGGGTCTGTGCCCTGGCACCGCAGAGCAGCAGAGCTGCCTACACCGAGTCCCACGTGCAGCCCATCTACCAGCCCTACCTCACCACCTGCCAGGGCCACCGAGTCTGCAGCACCTACAGGTGAGAGCACCTGCCTGTGCCATGGACCTGCCTCCAGCACAGCAGTGCCCAGGGCTCTGTGGGAGTGGGAAGTCTCAGCTTCATCCACAGGGATGGAGCTCCCAACCCTGGGCAAGGGTGTGGGAGCAGGATGGGGGTTTGGGACAGATGCTCTGTCACTCAGCTCAGTCCTGTCCTTGTATTGCAGAACTCTCTACAGGGTTGCCTACAGACAGGCATACAGGCAGCTGCCTGAGCCTGTGGCCTCGTGCTGTCCTGGCTGGAGCAGAGTGAACAGCCACGCACTCAGCTGTAACAAAGGTAAGAGGCCACCCCAGTGCTCATCCCCAGACTCCTCACGTCCCTGGAGGAGGCCCCAGGACCAGCTCTCTCATTTATCAACACTATGCCATGTCAGCTGAACTCTCCCCTCTAGGAAAGCATTTAAGTTTTCAGCATCACAACCAAATGTGGTTCAATATCTGATTAATTCCCAGCCTTTCTCTGTTGCCTCTCAGGCCTTTTTCCTTTGGGATTGTTTATTACCTTCACAGTTACCACAGGATAAATAAAACAAGCAAGTCCTTTCCATATAAATCATCAGTAATGGAAGAGAATTGCTTTCAGGAGGCAATAAATGCAAACTAAAGCAGCAGCTAGTCCATCCCCAGATGAGCTCAGAGCATGGCACCAAGGAGCTTCCCAGGGTCTGATGCTGCCCATCACTCTCCTTCCTCCCATCTGTGCTGTCTGTGGGTGCCTTGGCCTCTTTTCAGGGTGTAAACTCAAGGTTCTCTTCATCCCAGCCATCCTGTGCCCTGTTCACCCTGGGCAGTTCAACTCCATCCTGCCCCTGGGCTGGTGCTGGTGTGTGTTTTGGGGTGTATATACACACCTAGGGTGGAAGCTTGGGATCCCCAGAGCTGCTGGGTGACTCTGTGCTGGTGTTTCCTCTCACAGCTCTCTGCTGGGTGCCATGCCAGAATGGTGGAACTTGTGCCTTCCCTGGAAGATGTGCCTGCCCCCCTGGCTGGACTGGGCGAGCCTGCCAGACAGGTACTGGCCTTGTCACTGTTCCCTGTGTCATGTTGGCCTCACTGCTGCTGGGACAGCTGCTCTGGGGAGCATCAGAGCTGCCATGGGGCTCTGGATGTCCTCTGACCTTGGGACATGCCTGGTGCTACTCAGATCATAGAGGGGAACCAATGTGTTACCCCTCTGCACACACATGTGCACCTACATGTATCGCTCCAGGGCACTGGTCTGGTCAGGAAAGGATGGGAAGTTCATTTCCCAGGGGAGTTCTGATGTCCCTTTGGCTGCCTCAGTGCTCCCAACCCTTGTGTGCAGCCCTGGCATCCACATCATCTCTGCTGCTGCTCTATGCTGGCTCAGCATGAGCAGAGCTGTAAGCACACTAGCAAAATCCTTTCTGCAGCACAGAGACCTCATGGGTCCAGCCTGGGATCATGTATTTGTGATGATCCCTCTGCCAGGCTTTGTAAACTCTCCCTTCAAACTAAGATGCCCATTTACTGCAGAGACTAAATCCGTGAACTGAAAATATCCATGGGTGGAGGGGAAGTCTGGCAATCTGCAGGCTCTTCTCCAGCACAGGAGCAGCCTGATGCTCCTCACAGCGCAGGGAAAACAGGCAGTGTGGTGCACACCAGTGGTGCAAAACCCCTGCCACGGCTTTTCCCAGCTTTCCACCCTCCTGTAAGGCAGAGGAGGAGTGTGTGGCTTTGACCCATGCTGGGCTAGGCAGGGCTGAGCCCATTGCTGACAGCTCCAGCTCCAGCGCAGGGGGAAAGATTTTTCCCACTGCCTAAAACAGATTGGCTCGGGCGTGGGAAGCAGTTCAGCTCATTTTGCTTTGTGGGAACAGCTTTAACTACTCCCCCGTGTGAGGAGAGGTTACTGGGTTTTGTACACACTTGAAAGGCTGATAGCTCCTCACCACAGCTGGCTGGAACCAAAACCCCGGCCGTAAATCCGGGATGAGAGCCTGGCCAGGGCTGGGACACTTGTGACCACAGCTTTTGCTGCTGGCTCTGGCGTGGGGGAGCAGGCAGAGGGGAGGAGACCAGATCCCTCCTGTTTTGGCCCAGGTTTATCCAGATGGGCTGTCCCAGGTGCTGGCACCCTGAGATGCTGAGACACTCAGAGCTGTGCCCAGCGCAAACACCAGTTTATTCAGGGGCTCTCACTGGGGTGTCATTGCAGCCCCACTGCACCTAAGCCATCTGTGCCCCTTGCCCTGTGCCCCCTGCTCACTTCCCTGCCCTCACTGAGCTGTTTCTGTGTTTCAGATGTGGATGAATGTGCCAACCAGAGCCACGGCTGCAGCCAGCTCTGCATCAACACGGCCGGGAGCTACCACTGCGCCTGCCACAATGGCTTCATCCTCACTGCTGACAACAAGGAGTGCCAGCCCCTGGTGCCAGAGCCTGGCATGGATCCCTTCAGCCAAGCAGGTAACCTGTCCCCCCCATTGCAGCCTTCAGAGAGAGCTGGGGTTAACCCTCAGCGTCAGAGGATGGAGCAGGAGTGGCAGGAGACAGGCGAGGGCTGACAGCCAGAATCCCTCGGCTTTATTCTTACCCACCCAACCTCCCCTGCTCCCAGCTGCTGCTCCATCTGGGAGGGTGACAGAGCCTGGCTGTGGCTTGTGGTGTCTGGGATGTGGCTGTTCTCTCCATGGTCATTCCCACAGGGCAGGTCTGGAGCCAGGAGGAGGATCAGCGCCGCTGGTGACGGCCCATTATTACTTTTGGTACGCGCTGTGACACTTCAAACTCGTACCGTGAGTAATAATGCGCTGTGGCCAGCACAGGCAGCGTGCAGCAAACGTCTGGGAGAGCAGGGCACCACCTGCACATGCCCCACCTGCCTTTATCCCTGTCCAGGGCCCTCAGCAGGGATGATCCTTTGTGCCCACCACGGGACAGGGCAGAGTCGGGTGCTCTCTGACCACATGGGTGCAAAAGTCAAGGCTTCACCATACATCTTGTCCTTTAAGCATCACCTCACTGCATGAAGAACCCCCCACTTCGTTGCAGGTGCTCCAGCACAAAGGAGAAGCCTGTGCCATTAGCAGCTGGACTAGATGGCAGTGCTTGCAGCAGGTGTTGGATCCGACTGATGCTCTGGGGTTGCTCCCAGCAGGACAAACCTCGGTGGGGCCTCACTGCGAGGGGAGTGGAAAGCAGCAGAGCTTGGCCTGAGCCCTGCACCTCCCCAGCAGCTTCCACCTCACCTCAGGCAATGGGTTTCTACTCACTGACCTTCTCTTGGTCCCTTTTCCAGGTCCCTCCAGTGAAATGAGGGAGGAAATGAATGACCTGAGGAGCAGAGTGGAGGCGCTGGAGGAGGTGAGTTTCTGCACACCTTTTTCCTGCCCTGTTGCTGCTCGAGGCCACACTCAGCCAGCTCCCACCCCAGGCTGTTTGCAGCCAGGGTTTCCCTCCACCCCAGCTCTATTTTTAACATCGTGCTGGCCTGGAGCCCCAGGATCCCAGCAGTGATCCCAGCTGTGCTCCGCGTTGCCGACAGCGCCCACGCTGCGGCTCCTCCAGCCAGCGGCACTTTGAACACAGCCAAAGCTCTCTGAGCCCACCCCAGTGGGTGCTGCATCCCACCAGGTGGTCCTCCTGGCTGGGGGGACATGCTCATAGCTCCCTTTCTCCCTGCAGAAACTCCAGCTGGTGCTGGCTCCCTTCCACAACCTCATGCCATCGGCGCCAGAGGATGTTGGTGCAGACCCCATCAGTCGTCTGTCCCACTCCCTCCAGCAGCTGGACAGAATTGACTCCTTGAGTGAGCAGATCTCTTTCCTTGAGGAGCGGTTGGAGACGTGTAAGTGCCTGGAAAAAGCAGGGTTGAAGGATTTCCCTCCACCCACACTGGCCATGGGGAGCAGATGTGGGCCAGAGAGATCAGTAACACATATGCCACTGTTCATCTAGATCTCCCTCAAGCTCAGCAGCCTGTAATTAATAAAGGATGAACACAAACAGCCCATTAGCTTCATTTCAAAGCTGTTTCTCTGGCTGCACCATCTGACTGCCCTTGTAGCAGCCAAAAATCATAAGACTGGCACATGGAAACGTGGCTGTGGGGCAGAGCAGAGAGAGGCACTGGGAGCACTGGTCACGTCTGGCAGTCAGCACCTCCCCAGCTGCAGTGCCTTCCTGTACCCTTACAACTTGGTCCTTAGGAAAGAATCTCCAGCTCTTAGGAAATTAACAGTCCAAGAAGTCAATCAGGGGAGTTTAGGGAGCGTGCAGAAGTTGGCAGATTTATGAGCCTGGGAAGTTTCAGGCACTTCTTTTTGAAGTCTACAAACTTCAGTGGACAAAAGAAGTTCTCCTAAGTAGCTAACTGTGAGGAAGAGCTACCAGTGAGAGCTGTCATGTGTGAAATGGGTGGAGGTGGGGGGTCCTGCCTGGTGTGTCCCCCCACAGAGCAGGGCAGCATCCCTTCAGGTCCCTGTGGTGCTCTGGAGCACAACAGTTTGTCTCCAAGCAGATCACAACCATTTGAACACTTTATTTTGATAGGCAGCTCTTTGCAGCTTGTTTTCCCATTAAATAATTCCAGAAACTGGAGTTTTCTGGGCCAGCTGAGCCAGCTCAAGAGCTGGTGTGCAGCAGAGAGGTGCTTGGAAAGGCTCAGGGGAGATTGGTTCAGGGCATAGCCAGTCCCAGTTCACTGCCTGCAGTAATGGCTTAAATAGAAAAGAATTCAAAGAACTTGTTTGAAGAAATAGCTGCAAATAGACACTTATAAAACATCTCAGAAAGGGGTAATTATCAGTGTTCCAGCAGACCAAGTTTCCTAGTTGTGCCCTGTACATATTATTAGTGACAGCACCGAGGAATGTGAGCAGTATCACAAGGTAACATGGATTTATTCCAAGGGATGACTCCAAAGTCCTGAAATTAATTCCTCCCAAGCCTGTTTCCAGCAAGCAAGACTTGTTTTTGTCCCTTTTCATGGTCTTGCAAATCCTTGGAGGACACAAAACTGCCCTGTCATACTCCAGCAACCCCTGGGGCTCACAGGGCATCCCATGGAGTTACTCAGCCATCCATGTGCTGTGCCTGGTGAAGCATTTCACAACTGAATGCTACCATACAACTGCACTCCCCAATTAGCTGCTCAGTGGGGATGTGTGTAAGGACTAAAACTCATTTTCTTTCCTTTAAACCACCAGCAAAGGCACCAGGTCAGAACTCTTCAAGCCATAACCATTTTGGCCCCTGTAACTATGATTTACCCCTGGTTCAGCACAGGCTGTCCATGCTCAGCTGGGACACATCAGTGTTACTGTCACTGGCTTTGGGACACTTACACAGGGCCTAGGTGAGGGCTGTGACAGGGAGGGAAGAATGACACTCAGGAATGTGTTGAACAGAGCCAGCCTGGGGATGTTTGGCAAAGGGAAAGCAGCAAGTGTGGGTGGCATTCACAGAGGGTAAGGTCAACCTCATTCTGCTTGGGAAAGAGACAAACCAAAGCCAGGTCAAGGACATTGCTGGATTGTTTCTTTTCTTTCTCTTCCCAGGTTCCTGCAAGAATGAACTCTAGCTGAGCATCCAAGGAACTGGAACAAGCTGAGTGCATCCACAGCTCTTATCTCACTCTCCAGCCCCAGGCTGGGGACTAAGCCATATCATCTACAGGAAGGCACAGGGTAGCAGGAGAAGGCTGTTTCCCATGAGCATCTCCAGCATTTTCTCTTCCAGCTCACCTCAAAGGTCATGCATTTACTTTCAAACTGGACTCCAAGCCTTCTGTGCCTCCCTTCTTCCTGCTGGAGAGGCAGCAAATAAATGCCTTACCTCGTGCCATGAGGCTGTGCCAGACTGGCTTTGCCTGGCTTTTCCTTAGCATTATCCTGGGACAGCATCTCCCAGGGAGACTCCCAGGGAGGTACTGTGCCCATCCCTGCAGCTTCTGTCCTGCTGCCTGTGAGCAGGCTCCCTCCAGGAGTGCTGGGCTCACTGCTCCTTAGCACTGTCAGTCCATGGCACACATCCCTGCACCTCCCTCTCCAGCACCTCCTGCTCAAGCCCAAGAGCTCTGGTAACAGCACAGCAGATGTGACTGATGTGGTACAACCCTTCCCTACTGCCCAGAGTGGGGCTATGAGGCTGTGTGAGCTGCAGGGGTATAAAGAAAACCTCCTGCTGCCCACCCTGAGGCTGTAGGGTCATTACTGCCTGGGGAGGTGCTGGCACACTCCTATCCACACAGGCATCACTCTCCTCTTCCTATGGGAGAGGTTCCTGCAGGTATTTGTCCAAGCCCCATTGCCCCTCAATCACCAAACCCACCCCCTGCCAGAGCTGAAGGGTCAGCATTCCACATCCTCCTCCTCGCTCAGCTCCCACACAAGACCAGGAGGCTCCTTTATTTAAATAACCAAAGGTGTCTTTTTTTTTTTTTTTGTAAAGCACATAATGATCTCAACCCAATTAACAGTGAACAGCAGACAACTGCACACAGAGGCACTGCTCCCTGCTCCCAGGAGGAGTCAGACATGGTTATTCCCTCCAGGAGCCCCCTAAGGGCCCTCCTGGCTTTTCCATGACAGCTCTTTTATCTGCTGCTCTCACAAAGTGCTGGTTTGGTTCCCATACTCCCACCCTGACCCATCCCACAGTGGGTCTGACCCCTGAGTCTGTACTGTAAGGCCCCTCCAGTAATTTCCCTGGCCCCTGCCAGCACCAGCTCAGCCCAAGGGCTCTCCCTGCCTTTCCCATACAAAAATACCATATAACTGCAATTCCACCAACACAGGCTGCAAAAGCTGGTTGTGCTGGTTACCTGAGTAGCCCCAGGTGGCTTATCGCAAGGTCTCCTGTGCCACAAAGAGGAGAGCTAAAGCTAAAGGAACCATGGACCTGACCCAGTTTCTGAGGACATCAACTCTCCGACAGCTCCTAGTGAGGGATCCAGGAGCTCTGTTGGTCCATCACCCCAAAGCACAGGGGAACCCCCTTTATCTGCCTGGGAAAGGAGTTAATTTTCACCAAAGGGAGAACTAAAGCATTCCCAGCCCTGTCAGAGCTGCAGCTCACCCACCCTGTGGCTCTGCAGGGGTTTTACAAGCCTTGGAGAGCAGCAGCTCCAGAGATCGGCAGAGACACGCGGGACAGGCACCATCTCTCGGCCAGTGCTGACCATGACAAGTGACAAAACGAGCACGACAGAGCCCTTTGCATCTGTCGGGGGGACTGCAGGCACCGGGATGTGACCAGGCTGAGCCACCACCACGGCAGGGAGCTGGCAGCAGCTTCCTAACACAAGATGCTCAGGCTGAGCCACCACCACGGCAGGGAGCTGGCAGCTGTGCTGTGACACAAGGGCACCTCAAGGAGACAGGTCCTACTGTGCCAGGTGGGCACACTCCCAGTGCTGCTGAAGAGCCCAGATCTGGCTTTTCACCCAATTCTCATCCCTGCTGGAGCATCAAGGTTGTGCAGATATGAATTGCTGCCTGGTGGTTTCCATCTGGGACATCCCACCACCACGGCAGGGAGCTGGCAGCTGTGCTGTGACACAAGGGCACCTCAAGGAGACAGGTCCTACTGTGCCAGGTGGGCACACTCCCAGTGCTGCTGAAGAGCCCAGATCTGGCTTTTCACCCAATTCTCATCCCTGCTGGAGCATCAAGGTTGTGCAGATATGAATTGCTGCCTGGTGGTTTCCATCTGGGACATCCCAGGGCCAGGCCAGCTCGAGCTGAGCCTGCAGGAACACAGGTGCAGGGACAGTCATGTGAGGAAGAGCTCAGCCCCCAGTCAGGTTTTTGCTGTCCCCTTGGGGGAACTCACCTCTCTGGTCATTGAGCCCTTTGGTAGTTTGATGCCTGAGAAATTCAGAAAAAGGAGACATTTCATAGTGAGAAAATGAACCCATAAGAGAAATCCACTCAAGGGGAACCTCAGCGCTGGCTTGACACGCTGTGTGTGCCAGTCCTTGGTGTTCCCAGAGTTAGAAGTCACTGCAGAGGAAGAGAAGTTCCTTCAGTATTTGGCAACAACAGACAGGTCCCTTCAGCCACCACCACATGGTGACACCCCTGGAAAAGCCTCTAGGATGAGTCCTTGGCCTCGCTGGGACGGCCTGACAGCCTGAAGAGAGTCTCCCTCATGGTGTGGAAGCATCTGTCAGTGAGGTCATTGACATCGTCTGATGTCAGCCCTTTGGTCTCTATTGGAGGCAGAACCTCAACCTTGATTTTGCCTGGGAACAAGAAGAGCCTGTGAGAAACCCACGTGCCACAGGAGCTTTGCTCTCTGCCCTACTCCCTTCCCTGGACAGCCCCAGCACAGCTCTCATCCCCTCCCCTGGAGAGCAGGCAGAGGGGTTAGACCCTGGTTCCAACAACTGTGCCAAGCACAGTGTTCCCTTTGTGCCCCAAACTGCCACCCCAGGCGGAGCCTGCCCAGAGGAGGAGAGGTGGGTATCCAATTTTTAATGAAAACATCCCTCAACATATTTAATTACAGCCTTTGCTGAGCTAACCCAGCCCAGGCTCTGGTGCCAAGAGCTTTGAACTGACTCCAAGCATCTCCCAGCAGGACTCCTCCTGTTCACCCCAGCCCTGCTTCCCTCCCACACCCTTGTGAACCACATCTCCACATGGGACAACATCAACATTGTCTCCAAGTGACTCTTTTGTACCTGATGTAAATAGTTTCTTCTTTGGGTTATAGAAGGAGGTGAAGGAGGAGTACACCACAGGGATCACTGGGACCTTGGGGACAGAAAGGAAAGAGGAGTTACTATTTGCACTGCAGCAACTCAGGGCAGGCCAGAGACAGGCAGCAAATCCCACACAGTAGAGCTAACCTGGCTCTCAGACACTCAGGGGACACACAGCCCCATAAGCAAGACACACTTCCAAAGGCTGAGACAGTCAGGAATCAAATGGGACAGTCAGGAATCAAATGGGATCAAAACCACACCCAAGGCACAGGGACACTAGGGCCAAGTTCCACTTCAGCCTGAGGGCAGCACTGGCTTTTAGGGCTCCTTGTCCCAAGCCAGGCTTCAAACCTCAGGTATTTTATGCCCTGCAAACAAACACTGCAGGATGCCTGTTCTAACAGGCTTTGCCTGCTGTACAAGCACATGTCTGGGGCAGGACAGCTGCTGTGCCTTCAGCTTCTAAGGAAAGGAGTCACCAGTTGCCATCAATTGCTTCAGACAGAGACAGGGCCTTGAAGGCAGGCACAGAGCCATTGTTCCAGTGCTGATAACACAGACAGGATCTGCAGTTGGTGACTCAGGGGGGTGTAGCAGATGCTGGGACCATTTCCACTGTCATCCTTTCCTTTCCAGGCCCTGCTTGGGCAACATCACCCAGGCAGGAATGGGGATGGTCCAATGCAGGCTACACCCTGGGCTTGGCCAGTTGAATCCAGCAAGAGATCTGGCACCTATTCTCTTCTCCAGAATCCCTGCTGGAACACCTCTCCTAAGGAAAGCAGTTTTCCCCCAGGTCATCCCAACCCCTGGCACACTGCCCCAGCATCCTGCCCAGGCAAGCAGCACTGCTCCTGAGAGCACAGGCAGCTCTGGCTGTGTGAATCCAAGGAGCTGCTCCCCTGCTAACTGCTCAAGGATGTTGTCATTCTGGAGAGAGAAGGAATTTAAAACATATCAGGAAGTGCCATAAGGCTGTCAGGGAGGGAGCAGCTATTTTCACACAGAGCAAGCACAGATGTTGCTCTAAAGCACAAGCACTAACAATCCTGAATAAACACTACACTACTGCGACCTGGGGGATTGAGAAATGCAGGGACAGCTCTGGGATTCCCCAGACACGCACCAGCTGGGCTCTCTGCCAGGAGTGAGCTCTGGACTGCATCCATGCCCCCAGGAACCCCTAGGATCAGGCAGGAAAGTCTGGAGTGAGGGATCAAATGTGTCCCCCATGCTCTGCCCAGGTGGGACACCAGGAGTGGGGGCAGACAGGAGAGAGGACAAGGCAGCTCTCCACTGTCTGCAGCCACCCATCCACAGGTCACTCCCACAGGGGATGGAAAAGGCTCTTGGCTCCTGCTGGGCAGCACTTCTGACACCTAAGGGTGGTTTCCCTGAGGAGGTGAGTGTTTACCTGGGAACACAGCTCACCTGAGAGCAAATAAACCACACACTGCATGACCAGTCTGCAATGCCACTGCAAAAGCACTCAGGGTCCCCGTGCAGGAGTAAAGCTCTGTTACCTGTGCCTGGACAGCAATGTGAAATGCTCCTTTCTTGAATGGCAGCAAATCTCCAGTGCAGTTCCTTGTGCCCTCTGGGTACACCCACACCTTCACCTGCACGCGGAGAGACAAGGCTCTGCTCCAGCAACCCACTTGCAGTGCTCAGAGCCACCAGCCAGCCTTTCCTTGCCAAGGGCTGCAGGTGGCTGGAACTGCAGCTGAGCCAGCACCAGGAATCCCACATCCCCCTATGCCACCCCAGGATGCCCAGACACATGTCACCCCACCAAGCACCACAGACAAACTCACATTCTCAGTTACCATAGCCTTGGCCACCTCTGACATCACTATCTTGGCACTGCTGGTGCTCTTCCTGTTGATGAAGATGACACCACCGAGGTAGATGATGAGCCCCACGGAGCCAGTGTACAACAGCTCTTTCTTGCCCACCTGGACACAGTTGTCGGGCAGGACCTCCATCAGCCCTAATGGGATGGCAGAGGGCAAGACCCAGCAGTCACCCCCCCTGCCTGCACTCAGGTGGGACAAGGACATGAGCTGAGGTGGGCAGGGGACAGGGGGACCAGGGAAAGGTTGGTGCCTTGTTTCTCTCCGGGTTTCTGCTGCCTTCAGCAGAGTAGCATGAGATTCAGCACACAGCAGAATTAGTGGGGCAGAGTGGATAACAAGACCCCCCCAAAGGTAGCTCATTCCCTGGCCCCAGGGAGCCCTGAAGCACCTCAAGGTCAGCAGTGCCTGAGGTGCTGCACAGGTGTGTGACTGCTCAGAGCAAGTGGAGACCCTTCCCACAATAGCACTGACAGAGAAGCTGGACCAGCTGGATGGACAGCACAGCCTGACCAGGGCAGGGACTGCTGGCCCAGGAGGTATGAGCAGGATTTCTTGGATGGTGAGCAGGAGAACTGCTCCTTCCCTCCACCAGTTCCTCACCCATCATGTCGAGGATGCTCTGATGGTTGGACACAATGACAGCAGGACCTTTCACCTCGAAGTTCTCCAGACCCTTCACCTCAAACCTCAGGTCGAAGAAATACTTGAAGGTCTTGACAACAGCTTTGATGATTCTGTGGAAGAGAAGAGCAGTCAGCCACGGGGCAGGGAGGTGACAGGGGCTGACATACCCAGGGTGGGTGGAAGAAGATAAAGTTCTGGGACAATGAACCTCCAGTTTCATTTGCCCTGTGGTCATCCAGGTGTCTGCCCTGCCCTATGTGCTCAAGGTGCTTCAGTTGCATGCTAAGCCCTTTCCACCCCCGGTGTGGGAATGCTCCTGGAAGCCTGAGGGAAGCTGATTGTAATTTTGAGGCCAGTACAGCCAGACTCACTAGCCCATGCATCCTTCAAGTTGACAGCATCAGCTCACTACAGGCTCTTTAGAAGAGGCAACTCCAGCCTAGTGCAGCTGCAAGAGCACTGCAAACAGAGGGCAAACTGGAAATCCTCCAAAGCCCAGGAGAGAGGACACTGTTTTCAGCACTGGATCAAGGACCACTCCTCCTGCAGCCAGTCCCACCCATGGAGTGCTGTTCATTTCTCCTGTGCCATGGCTCTAGGCTGCTCCAGGGCTACCAGTGTCTTCCTCCCACAATCAGCAGGGCCACACAAGTTGTTCAAATGGTTTTCCCAAGAGCTGCTGCTCCCCAGCACTCAGGTATCAGCCTACACACCCCAGGAAGGATCTGCCAGCTCTGCTCCTTGCAGTGCTGGAAGATGCTGCTCAATGATACGAACAAACCTGGAGTGCCATTACCTCATGGGAGTTCAAGAAAGAAGGAGAATTAAGGTGAGAAACACTACCCTGCACGATGCAAGCAGCAAACAGGATAATTCCCACACAGCTTAGCAGAGACCAAGTGCCCCCGGCAAACCCATCTTCAAGCTTTTGCCTGTCAGTTCCCTCTCCCAGTGGATCTACAGGTCTGACAAAGCTCCCAGCTTTTCCCAGGGCTGGGGGCCCAGCTGGGAGGCAGCAGCAGCTCCACTCAGCCCTGCTGACATGTGGAACAGGCTCTGTGCCCTTGCTGAGCACACCCAGCCCAGGCTCTCCAGCCGAACCCCTGCCAGCCCATGGCAGCAGAAGCCACCCCAGACACCACCCCCAGGCAGGTGGGACTTGGGGACCCTCCAACTGGGCCAAAGGACACAGCCAGAGCTGGAAGCACACAGGGGCTATTTTGGGCAGGGGAGCAGCCATTTACCAGGACAGGTGGCAGAGGAGCTTTGCATGTGAACAAAGTTTCCAGGAACAGCCACCAGCTCTGCTCTTTCCTAGAGCAGATTCAGGAGCAGACTTGCCCTCCAGCAAACATCTGGATGTTCTGCCTCAGGGACACCTCCCTGGAGCTTTCCTCCATGCAGGAGGAGACTGAGGGACAGTGTTAGCTTCATGCCCACCACAGGGTCCAGATGGGAAGCTGTGCAGCACCATTTGTCTGGGAAGCATCCCTGTCACCCAGGTGGGAGGAGAGCACCTGGACAGCATCTCACCCTGGCTTGGCAGCAGCTCCCAGCATCTACTCTCCAGAAGTATCCACATCCCTGCCATCAGCTCTTGACTTTCCTCAGCTTGCTCCTACCCACAGTGGGGTTCACACCTCCGTGGGGTGTCCCACCATGCAGAGCACCCAGGGGCTGGCTTGACATTGGAGTTCAGGCCAGGCCAATGGCTCCAGGTGACACAGTCCTCAGGTGCCACTGCTATCAGTCCTCATTTCAATCTGCTGCAAAGGTTAGAGCCACACCCAGGGAAAGGACACTGAGAGGTTCATGGAATGCAGAGCTCCTGAGCTCCATGGGCCTGCTCCAAGGTCCAGGTGAAGAGATGAAGGTGACAGGGTGACACAAACCAGTGAGGTCACAGGGGATGCCATGCCACCAGGCTGACCTAAATCACACTTCTCCTCCCTTCTGACTGCCAACCAAAAAAGAGGTCATTGCTCTGGAAGTCACACTGCTCAGTGGCTGCTGGGAGAGGCTGGTTACACATTACTCAAGAGCAGCCATCCAGCTTCCTCCTGCCAGTCTGCAGCCAGTGTTTCCTTGCACAAGATGTGGCGTGAGCCACTGAAAGAGGCAAAGGGGCAGAGCTCAGAGCAGGCAAAAAAAGACCCAGGTGACCAGCAGTCCTGGCCACGTCACCACAGGGTTAAGAGGATGGATCTGATTCCACTCCAACTCTGCAAGCAGCTTCTCTGCTGGTATCAACCATCCTGATTTGGTGCAGCCAAGAGAGCTGTAAATCCAATGCACTTATTGCCAGACATGAGGAGTACAAAAATAAGAGGAAATGTGGCTTTTCAGTGCATCCATAACAGCGTGAGTGGGAAAAACCAGCAGCCCCCAGATCCACGTGCTCTGCTCCACAGCCTGTCTCAGAGGCCTTTTCAGGATACTCGCATTTCCAAAGACTAATGAATCCTGCTTACCAGATTGGAAGCTCTTGCAAGAGGTTTCACCACTAGATAAACAGCTCTATCTCTATAAGACACCCAGAGCAACCTCTTCCAAGTCACATCAGCTTGGCACTGGAGCCAAGGAGCAAAGCAGGAACGGGGTGTTCTGCGCAAGGCAGCGACAGTGTTATCACTGTCTGTCCACCAGCACATGCTCTGCTCCAGCCCTCTTGCCCAAGCTGGAATAAGCAAACTGGGATGTGGCAGAAATAAGGAGCTCACTGGATCACCTCAGCCACACACCTCCCAAGGGCCGGGATACATCACCAGGATCATCAGCCAGTGCCAGTACATGGAAACAACAGGCTTAAGTAACAGGAAAAGGGAGGTTCTGGCCAAAATTCAGCTTGGAGTTTCAACATGAGGATTTACCCAATGCAAGAAGTTCTTGTTCTCAAAAAATTCCTTTAAGCTTACAGAAAATTTAGAGGGTTTATTTTGAGGGGTAAGGAAAAAAAAAAGCGTGTCTCTATCACTGACATCATAAATTCTCCCAGCTGGTTGTGCATTGGAAAGCTGCTCCTGAGCAAACCAAGGCAACCAAAGCTGGAGACAGAGCTAGGCTGGAGATTCAAGAGCTCTTTCCAGTGCCTGGAGCCACAGCAGAGCTGGGTGAGCATGGCAGAGCCCTCAGGGCAGCACATCAGTGCTCTGTGCCCGCTCACTCCCATCTGCAAAGCAAAGTCCAGCTCCACCTGCTGAGACTGCCCAACCTTTGACCCAAAAGGATGTCTTAAGGCGACAGGACTCCCCTTTCCCCTCCATCCATGTAACTTGACACGGCCATGGAGGGTTAGCACAGGTTAAAAACTGCCTATGGGAGAGCAAAGCGAGGAAAACTAGTCGTGTGCTGCCAGCAGAAGCGCCAGCTCTGCCCTTAAAATGTGTTTTTTGGCATGATGAGGAGCTGCTGGGTGAGAGCAGCAGCTCAGCCCTTGCCCTGGGCGTCCTGTCAGGGGACACATGGGCTGAGAGCAGCTGTATGACTGCCACGCTCTGGGCACCCTGCCTGCCAGCGAGGAAACACCCCAAACAAACACTGCTGTCCTCCGGCTTTCAAAAAAAACCCTACCAGCCACCCTCCAGGCACTCCATCCCCAAAAATAACCCACCAAGTGCTCAGCCACGAGCATCCCCCAGCAGTGCCGTCTAGGAGGGCACTCCGGGTACCCCTCGAGGCGTCGCTCCCACAGATCCAACACAGAGTATCATCACCTTCTCGGGGGCTCTGAGCAGAGGCTGGGGCGGTGCA